CTTTGGTGGTGCAACAAACTATTGGATACTGAAGGACCCAAAATGTTGGCTCCTTCTGCTGAGTGAGATGCTTTTGCTGAGAATGTGAGTTTGGTCAGCCTTGGTCGTTCCCCAAAATGGGGCATGCCAGGCCTCAGTGCTTAGAGAAAGTTGGACGTTTGGAACTGAAGGTGAATTAGAAATGGTGTGATTTTAAGGGCAGTCAGGCACACAGACAGCTCTTTTCTAAAGTACATTTCTCAACAGCAGTGGCCAGAATGGCACAGTAGTAAAAGCTACTATTCAAAGCTGCTCAGTATTTATTTAGATTGTGGAATAAAGTTCTTTCTATTAACTGAAGAACAGCTGCGAAGAGATGCACAAAGAATCTGGAAATCTCTTGACAAACATTTACACAGAAGGTGATGATAAACAAACAAGACCTAATACCTAGCACAATGCTTTTATAGGGCATGTTTTATTAACAGCTTTGAATTTTTGCTCTGCCTGTCAGGAGAATCCTTTATCCTCAAACCTCTCAGTGCAGATTTACTGTAAAATGTAGCTCTCTATTTTTAATCAGAGTATGGGGAATGAAGGGAATCATATATCCAAAAGCATTAGCAAGTAATGCTCAGCATCTCTGAAGGCACATTTATTGAATAGTTCAGTTTGACTGGGAACTTAAATGGCTCTCTCTGTTTTGGTGCTGATGTATTATGGAATTATTCTCACATGCTGATCCAGGTTTATTCATTGTCTGCCAAGGACTGAATATTTTTGTCCTTTCACATGGGGAGTAAAAGCAATTCTTTTTCCTGTTACAACTTTAAGACATTGTCAAAAGACAATGTATTACTTAGGAAGGTGGTGCAGCCAGTTCTGCTCTCAGTGTGGCTGCTGATAGTGCTGTAAACACCTGCACCACCTCTGTGCTGGGAAGTGCTGGGTTAGTGCACCAGATAACTGGGAACTTGTAAATATGACCTCATGGGAAAGAGAACACCCAATCTCCCTGAAACTCAGAGTTTCAAGTGTTTACAAAGGAGACAGCTAAAATAAATAAGACATTTCCAAAAGTGTAGATTTCATTCTTTTAGAATAACGTGAGGAAATATTCAGTCTTTGCCAAGAATTTAAAGACTGATTTTGAAAGGTGTTGTGTGTGAGTAAATGCAGTAGTAAAATGAGAATTATTGGTATGGATTTCTGTTAAAACTGTGTTTTGACATATAGACACATTTAGCCATAAATTCTGTTATCAGCAGGTCATATTTCCAAGGCTTTAAGAACTTTTCTTAGATTCAAGATAGAGTTTAAGTAGGAATATATGTTTTAATATAATTTATTTGTTAAATAAAGGGAGCAAGAATTATTATTAATAAATGTAGTGGATTCCTGGGATAGGTTTAAGCTTTTTTTTTTTACAAAAGCTCTTATCTGGTTTCTTGTGACACAGCTGATTGATGTTGCTGCATTACATGGGAGATGGAAGTTGAGCCTTTTTAGGTAGCACATGGTTATTTCTGATAGTGTATCTTACTACATGTTTTAGCAACAATTTGCAAATGTTGTACAAGCCATACATATTCCTGGAATAAATCAACTGGTAGTTATATCTGAGGATGCATCTTTTCTCTAAAAATAGAGTGACAGATTATATTTACATTATGTTAAATTTTATCTGAAAAAGAAAAGCACAGATCTGATGGTATTGCTCTGAGGAGAGGAGGAAAATTATGGGAATCCAGTTATTATGGAGACAAAGACTGATTTTTTTTCAGAAGAAGTTTCATTCCTACTTTTATTTCAAAGTTGTCATTGTAAAGGAATTAAGGTGTAAGGGAATTGTCATTCCCTTATACACCAAGTGTCCTGATCACTGTTAAGAGAACTTCCCAATGTAAATTATGGAGAGAGCAATAAATAATTGAAACATGGTATAATATGTGGGCAATGATATACAGCAATAAGGCTGTAGAGATCTGAGTAATGTCTTCTGCTCTAGCACTAATGCATTATGGCAGACAAATGTAAATATATGGATGTGAGCTCTTTCTGATTGATGTTATTTTTATGTATCTTGAACTGAATGGATGATAGATTTATTTATCTTTTGAATCCAAACTGTGGGTAAGTTGGTCTGTACCATATAAACCCAAGAATTTATCTCTAGGATAAGACTGAGCTGATTGACCTTGAGGAGTTTAGAGTTGCCTCTCCTGAACTAATGATAGGAGCTGGACCCTATTTCACAGAGGGAGAGGGGACACAAAGCAGTGCTGTGAATGAGATTCAGTCCATCCAAATAGATTCAGAAATCACATTCTCTTTTCTGTTAGTCTCTGAATGCCTCCAGATGAATTAAATGCATTATCTGCTGGATAATCATTTTATGATGAAAAATTGGTAAAAAAAGCACACTCTGCTTGTCACTGTTACTTGCTTGTGCTGTTTTTGACATTCTCTCCTGAGAAGGTTTACCTATACAGCAACTTGTAGTTTCTGTAGGGAAAGCCAGTGTAGTCACTGTGACCATTCTTGTATTTTTAATTTCCCATAAGCACTATTTTGATAAGGTGAATACCTTTAGTTGTTTGGATTAGCTGAGCTGGCACTGTGCTTTGGATTGGATTGTCAGAGGTAGATGTGGTTCCCTGGAGCTCTGGGGAATCCCACAGAGGAGTTTCAAGCTGCCCTGGGAAAGTGCCTGAGCAATGTTTGTCACAAAGGGCTGCTGTGAGACCAGAGCCCCTCTTCTGTGCTCATAGCCATGCCTGCTCATTTCCCTGGCTCCAGCCCTTTCTGTCTGTAATTGATGGCACACAAATCTCTTCGGACACAATCATACCATTTTTCTACTTGTAATGCAGTTTCCTTGGTTTTGTGAACTGAACCCTCCAAACTAGCTTGAAAAATACCATCTTTTTCTTCTAAAGAACCATGGGGATAGCTGCAGCTCAGAGTTGCTGTTCAGGCACAGGTGCCAGCATGCTGGGGTATTATACCAAGCAAGCTGGGGTCATTTGCCACAGCTCCATAACTTTCCTCAGCAAACTCATCTGCCAGAATCCATGCAAGTGTCAATTGTCATAAATTACCACCACCTTTGAATACAATTACTTAGCAAAATTAATTAAGACTAAAAAGATAAATGCTGGAAGCTAAGGACAAAAGTCCACACTGAGGTGTAATAAATTATAAATACAATTAAATATCTTCACTAGAAGGAGAAATCAGAGCCGCAATATAAATTTGTAATTAAAGATGTCTATTTAAAATTTTATCTCTGACCTCCTCATAATTTATGAAGATGTATGTTCCAATGTCAAGAAATTAAGTGTAAATTATGAACCTAATAGCTTTATAGTAAGAAAATCGATATCCTGATTACAAACTCAATTTATATTATTGATAAAAATGTCTGGCAGATCTGATGGGATTCAGAGGAAATCCTTAGAGATAAGCATTTCAAATCAGTAATGATTGTCTACTTTCAGTGTTTTTGGTGAAATCTATTGTACAAGAGTCCAGAGAAAGAAGCATGTGCATTGAACAGTATAAACAGTCAATATGAGAGTCAGCCCCTCACTTGTGCTCTTGGGGGTCTATGCACCTCTGGGTAGCACTAAGGAGCAGAAGAAATGCCCTTGCATCCAATTCATTTTCTTGTTAGTGAAAGCACTTCACAATCTTAATTTAAAAATTCCCTTGAGAGCTAAACCACGAGGGGCATTTAGTGACCCAAGCTCTCAGGCTGCACATTGACTACTCAGACTGCACATTGCTCCCAGCCTTTTCCCCTTACTGTATTCTCAGCATTATCCCTTATCTCCTGTTATAGAAACCAGACTGACTTGCTCCCCAAGATCTACTGAGAAAGCTCTTCCTCCCCCACGTTTCCATTGCCACACAGAAAAACACTTGCTGACTGACAGTGAAGAAGTGGCAAATCTCAGAAAGATGACTGATAGTGCCAGAGTGTATCCAAACTGTAATGGCCTTGATTGACATTATGGGACATGAGACACGTCATAAAGAAGAATCAAGCTGTCACAGAAATAGAAAACCTCCCCACTGTACATGGATGCCTGCATCCGTGTTTATGCAGTGCACTTGTACGCTAGTCCTTATTTTGTCTGCAGTTTTATCTTGCTCTTTGTAAAAGCCCCAATTTGGTTATCTTCAGCTGCTACTTCATAGCAAGAGTCTGACATGAAGGCTTGTAATCAGACATCATTTTGTAAACAAGGAAAACATGCTATATATAGAATAAATGATAAGGAATTGTGAATTGCAGGCCTATCTCGATACTGAGGATTTCTGTGGTGATCTTGCAAATCACAGCAGGGAGTTCTGAATGGATAGTGAAGTAACCAGAATCAATAACCAGCATGAGTACACTCATTATTAAAAGTTGGGTTTCAAAAAAGCACACTTGGAAGGACACTGCATTTAAATTAGATCCTTTTTAGTCCAGTTTTCTATGTCCCTCTCTTGTAATTTAACCTCCCATGTCATTCGTTGCTCTCTGTGAATAGAAGTGACTATGAAGTAATTAAAAACATAATATAGTGAAGAAAAAGATATAAAACAATGCATAATAAATTAATGCCTGAATGAGGCAGCAGTGGAGGAAGATTTTTGCAGATATTCTCATTATAATCAGAAATACACCATTTATTAGATGTTTGTGTAGTAACTACAGATTTTAGGATGAGGGAAAAGTCTGCCAGTATAGCTCCTTCTTCAGCAGCATGGAGGATGCCATTAGGATGTTTGAAAGGAGCAGTAGTGAAACAAACTCTCAGGAAACAAGGATGTGTCTGACCTACATCTGAGTCCATAACAAACTTAGGAAGGACCCATTCCTTGTGGTCTGGAGCCTCTCACAGGTGCATAACCCCTCTCTTTGTGCTAAAGCTCATACAAAGCACACCTATGAGATTAGGAAGTTGTAAGGATGTAGCGGTGCATCCGTAGGGATCCTGTTCTGCTGGTGCTGCACAGACAGTACTGACCTGATCTGCAGCCAGGTGAGCATTGGTGTGGTGCCTCCCCCACACACCCAGACTGTGAAGAACACCACCAGCAGGGCTGTGGTGAACATCATCTGCTTGGGCTGCGACTCCGTGTCACGAATGGCCAACGCAAACGCGATCGCACCCCGCAAACCTGGAACCAGACAAGGGGGAGGAACTTAATGAGACAGAGAAACAGAATTTTCATCTTTTCAGTCCAAGGGCAGGGGAAATTTTCAGATCATAATCCTGCTTATAAAGTGCCGAATCATGCTAACTGAAAGGGTGGGATTTAATGCAGCATATTTGCAAAAGTGAACCATGAAAATACTCTCATATTCACATAATAACCACACTTTTGCTTTAAGTCCACTGAATTCTTTGTCCTGAATAATTGCAAATTAAGTGGTGATCCGAACTTAATGCAGGTTGAAAAAGAAATCTGTATTCTGTTTAAGTGGGACTTTTTCACTTAAGCAAATGAAAAAGAAGGATTGGCATTAAAATCTGTACCTAAATGTGCTACTCATTGCTTTCTTGAAAATATAGACTATGTTCCTTTAAAATCATTTAATGTTCTCAGACTAGTCAGAAAAACATGACTTAAAAACAATGAATGGTTTTTCAAAGATGATTTTAAATACCTAAAAGGGGATGCAGAATAAATTAATGTACTTGAAATGTTATAATAGTTGTAGAATTATACACCCACAGAGACTGAATAAACAAGAAATTACGAAGGTGGTGAAAACAGCTAAATGAGTTTTAAAAAAAAAGCCCCATAGGTAGTAATAAAGGGACTAAATAGGTCTTGACAAAATGCCATGTTTAAAAATTGAGGGGAAAAAAACCTGCTAGTGCCTGCAGCCCTCAGAATGCATAATACAAGTAATACTCCATATTTTCTAATGCCTTTCATTTATCTATTTAAATGTACTTTATTGTTTTCCAGAAAACTTTCACAAAATAATTCTAGAGAGCAAAGTCATTACATGTATACAATACACGCTGAGTCCAAAAAGTACCTTGCAAAGTATTGAGAAATTAAATCTAGTAATCAAACCTCTTGTAAGGCACTGATGACATATGCAGAATCATTTAATTAACTGCTAAATGCAGCTATTTTTGGCCTAGAACTCAAAAGCCCTTTAAGATTACATAGCTAGAATGTGAATTATTTGGTATAGAAGCTGGGCTTCCAATTATTTGGTATAGAAGTTTATGCTGGGAACAGCACAAAGCCATTTCTACTAGGAAGGAGCAGACTGGGGTTGCACTATCTGAAAATACTCAGTGGCAGCAGGTTCAAAACCCTGCAGGCAGACATTGGGCTTGTCCTTGGCTTTGCTTTTGTGTAAAAGACATCTCTGAGGATGCAGTGCTTTACTGTTTTCTAACAGGGAAAGACTCTAATCTCATTTTAAGCTGGGGAGGGAATGAATGACTATTGAAATGGTCTTTATTTCAGTGGTTATAGTGGTAATGTGGATGATTGGAACAGCTACATTTCACTGGAAAACAGTATTGCTTCCCACAGTTGCAGCACATCTTTAATTTTAGATCTAGAACACATCTTTTTGTAAGAGGGGAAATATATATATATATACACACACATATATATACATATAAAAGTAAATTAGTATGTCTTCTTGAGCAGTGGACTGGCTGTTTCTTCAGTTCAGAAAAATAGTGAGTGACTTCTCTGTATTTTTCATTTATAAAGGACTAACATGGTCCATAAGAGATAATTCAGTTTCAACTAAAGAAAAATAAATAATCAAACTAAACAACTAAAGTGCTGGGAAGCAGATGAATACACTTCAAATGTAAAGACTCAATAAGAAGCAAGGAACACTGCTATATTTGTGTATATATATATATATATATCTAAATACTTTCCTGGTAATACAGGTGAAGGAAGGGAATTTTAACAACTTCAGAAAATGTTGAGCTACTGAAATGGTCTGAAGTTAAGGAAGATTAAATTTTCTGTAAAATTTCAGGGAAAACTGCCACCAAAGCCCAGTGGGATGATTGGATGCAGTGGATGTTGGTACATAGCTACCCCTGGACAGAGTGGGGCAGCAGAAGGACCAGCTCTGATGAACCATTAGCAGAGATTCTCTCCCCTCATCCTTCAGAGGTGAATTGTTGGCAGCTCCACATCTGTGTTAATCCATTCATCCTTGGGCTGCATCACAGATTTCCTAACAGATATTTTTTTGTGCCTGCCACTAGGGATTCATCTTTAAGCAATGCCCTTTAATGTGTCAGAGTCTGAAAAGCAGAGCAGCCCAGGGTTAAGCCCCAGAGTCCCCAGAACAGAACCTGTGTGCCCTGTAGGGCTGTTGGCCATCCTCTGCCCACACCTCTCCAAACCCAGCCCTCTGAAGAGCCCAGGAGGGCTGCAGTGTTGGCTCTTGGTGGGAAAAGGATCTGCCAGGAAAGACTTTCTGTGGGCAGCCCTGGTGTTTTGGTTTCAGCCATAGTTTTCTGTTCTTTCCTTCCTTGCTTTCTTTTCTATTTAGCTGATTTCTTCAATTGCCACTTCCCACCTCTGTGTCTGTATGAGTGTGTAGATGTAAATGCCTGCACAACAGCTGTCTGTACATGGGCCTCTTTTGGCTTAATTCTGCATTTGTGTTCATCCTTTCAGGCTCCACTGATGCTGTAATGCTTATATTAACACAACCACCCCTGTAGCACTGTGTCCCACAAGCCTCTCTGTTGCCTATTTATGTGTTGTAGAGAAGAGGAAAACAGAGTAAAAAGTAAATAAAGATGCTGGGAGAAGAGTGGAAGATGTTATAAAGTCTAAGACTTTGAAATGTTTCTTTTTCACATGAGTGGAGACTGCTGGACTGCTCACATTAGCTGATGTTCAACTTAATTTGAGAAGCCTGGGATTAATTAGTCCTTGTATAAAGGACTAATCAAGTTTTCATTTCCAATGGAATGTTATCAGGAATCATGATTAAAAACAGTTGTGAGAAGTGAATCCACCCTCTGTGATGTATTTTTAGAGGAGTGGTAAAAGCAGATAAAGAATGCGATAAATCAAAATACTCCAGCATAATCCACCTCCAAACCCAACTCTTCCACCTTTTCTCAACTGTATTGATATGCATCAAAAAGCAGAACTTAGTGACTTCAGGAGAGTTCTTTGCAGAGTAATGTTTAATCAAAGGCTAATCAACAGTGTACTTGCCTGACCTTAATTGCTTTTCTCAGCAATTTTTCTCAGCAATCACTTTGGTGATTGTGGCAGTAAAACAAGCAGTAAATGTTTGGTGGATTTGGTAATAAGACAGAAAACAAATCTAACCCCAAATTCATTGTTTTCCACACCTGAATGTGTGATGCTGTGGTGAATGAAGGCCATTTTCCCCTGTGATCGATAAGAACCTGATGCTATGCCAGAACAATGAAGATAGTAAAACCCACACTGAAGTGGTGGATGCCCCATCCTTGGAAACACTTGAGGTCAGGCTGGATGGGGCTCTGAGCAACCTGATCTGGTTGAAGATACCCCTGCTCATTGCAGAGGGTTGGACCAGATAACCTTTAAAGGTCCCCTCCAGCCCAAATTGTTCTATGACTGCTGCTAAAGATCTTTGTAGATAATTTCCTTCAAACTCAAATTCAATGTCTTGTTTACTCATCAGAAATGTCTCTCTCCTGGCAGCCATTGTCCCCTCTGTTTATCACTATATGCAGTTTTATCAGTTTATAGCACTATGAATGTTATTGGTAACTAAGCACAAATCTTGGTGCATCTTAAAAATATAGAATTGCACAGAAAATCTGTGTATCCTGTGAAGTGTGCAGCTGCTGGCAGCATGAGAGACTGTCTTTATTATTATAGCTGCAGATTATGCCATTACTTTATTATAATGTAAACACATTTTTCTCTCCAAAATAGAGGGGGTTTTATCTTTGGAAATAGATAAAAATTACTTTTCTGAGAATTTTAGAAGCCTGCAATACTACTGTTTCAGTTCTCAGCTGCCAGATTGTCCTGGAAAGCTAATGTGTGTGAGTTCTCACGTTCAGCTGCAGGCTGCTTTCTGCTCCCGTTCCGTGGAGAATGAAATTTGACTGCAGAAAACGAGGACAGAAAAGTTAAAGAATAAGAGAGATTTCAGAAGGTTTTCCATCCTGTACTTTAGCTGATGCAAACCAAAAGCCAAAATGGAGCCCAGGAAGTAGATACCGAATGATATGAAGCTATTTTTCATGCTGCTGTCTAGCTGGCCACCTGCTAGGCTTACCAGAGACCTCCAGCTCCAGGTCCCCCACGGAACAATGGCAGGGAGCAGTTGGGCTGAAAGGCAGCTCCTGCTGGATGTGTCATCATCCCTCACCCCGCTCTCGCTGGAATTAGTGACATTTTCAGTGGCAGCTTTTAGCAGAAGGATTGAATGGGTATAGAAATGAACTGCTGTGTTGCTCTCTGGAGGGTTGGAATTACATAGGCACAAATGAGGCCCCCTGATGTGGAGTGCTCCTGATGAGGGAGCTTGAAATGCAGCACATTGTATTTCACTCGTTATCTGGCTAAATGGATCTCTGTACATCAAGGCTGTCAATCAAGAACTTTTATCTATACAAATGTGGAATAAATTTTTGCATAAAAACCAGGAAAATGAAGCAAAAAATGTGCTGAGTTTCTAATTTTAGAAAATTATATCATCAATAGCGTAGGGGTATCTGTATTTCTGTCTTTAACTGAACAGATATTCTTGGCTTATAAGTGAGTTTTTCCTAACTAGCATTAGAAAGTCAAGTGGAATTATTTCTAGCTTGTACAAGTAAGAAAATATGTAATCCAGATGAGCCTTAACAGTTCTGGGGATGATGTGCAAATCAGAGTAGAACATGGCTCCCTCTTCTGGATTTTAATTTTTTTTTTTTATTATTCTACAAGGTTAACAAAATCAACAAAATTAAATATCAAGCTGGAATACATATGAAAAGATCTGTGGAATTGAAATGATCTTCTCTCAGATTTAAAAGTAAAACTGTTCCAGAAGTTTAAGGAATTGCCAAAGACCATGTTTGATCTGAGTGTCAGCACTAACACTGTCCAGGTTGGGTATTTGTTTGCTGCTGTGTAAAATACTCTCAGTTATACTACAGGTGCCTCTAAAACAGCACAACTTAAAAACATGGTATTCCCAAATTGTCATGAAGTGTAGACAGATGGGAACAATGGATTGAAAGATAATGGTTTCCAAAACGTTAATTAAAATAGGGCAAGAGCACAGTGAGGTTGATCAGAAGGTATCCATTTGCTTCTGTAGCTTTGGAGAGATGACCTTGAGTTTTAAGATAACAAATTCTTTGTGATAGATGTGGCTTTTTCTAGTGGTAGATGGCTATTTTTGTCATTCATTAAATGTGGACAGGAGAAATATCAAAAAAGCCAAAATAGCTCTTACCTGAAAACATCATCATGTGCTGAAAGGTCCTGGGAATCTTTTGTTTTCGTCCCAAATTCAAAAGGAAAGAAAGTGGGTATATGTTGGAAGCTCTTGCTACAAAAACTGCCACCTAAAATGTAAGATGTTGAGGAAAATAGTGGACAAGCTACTGACAAAACAAGAATTAACCCAAATATTTCTCTAAAATTATTTTTAAGGTGTAATTAAACAAATATGACATTATCTTTTTAACTTTTACATGCCATGTTCCAATGCTCCCTGTGCAGTGGCAGAGACCTGCCTTCCCCAGACATCCTGGTTTTATATTCATCATTCTGTATCTCACTTCAATCACTCTACTTCTACTCATCACATTTGTGTCACATGTGGCTTCATCTTCAGCTCTTCAGGAAAATGCCCATCATCAATTGCAGAGAGAGCATTATGTCCTTGAGCAGCAATTTTCAGAGAATAAATGTACTTTTGGACCTGATTATTACTACTTTATTTCCTGGTGATTCATATTGTCTATACCCAGCACTTTTTGCTATTTCTTCCCCTTCTCTGCTGAGATTCTTCCGATGAAGTTCTTTCTTACTCCTCTGTGAAACTATCCCAAAAGTTGCCTTAATTGGAGCCATGAGGCCATTATCAGGTTTAGAGAAGCCAGTCTGAGCTCCCTGTATATGCTTTTTGCACATTTTGCACATTTTTTGCCCTCCCTTTGTCTTGCAGCTCAATTATGGCACTCCCAGTCTGAGCAGCCTGGACTGGAGAGCAGGTGAAGAGTTTGGGAGTTGATGTCTGAGTCCCAGCAGCTGCCCCAGGAGCTGCCTGCAGCTCTGGTGCAGTCCTGATTATTCATTTAGAAATTACATATAACAATTACTGCACATCAACAGTGTGCTCCCAACTTTCAAAGCTATTACAGTTCATTTAAAAGTGATAAGCAGAGGGCTGCTGCTCTGGGCCAGAAAAAAAAAATCATTGAATAAATTGTCAGTGTGAAAAGAATCTATACTGCTCTATGAGTAAGATTTATTGAGAAACCATGGCAGAATTAAAGACACAGAGCTTTTCTTACCTCTTAGGCACATGATGGGGTAAATAATTCCATGTATGCTAGAGATACCAATTATAAAGAAGGAAAGATGTGAGCAAAGCAGAACTGTGTGATTTTTAAGGGCTTCATATCATTTAAGTAATTTTGGGGAAGTCCTGCTTATGGCACACATCTGTCTGGAGGCAGCTCTCCAGTTTGTGGATCTGCACTGGCTCCAGACAGGAAAAGAGGTTTTGTGTTGCGCCTGTCCCCACAGATGTGTCCCAATACTTATCCTGATTTCCCACTTGTAAACCACTGGCAAAACTTCCCCAGCTGGTTTAAAGCTATTTGCCTGTAGCAGAGCAGCAAAATAGCAACTGTCCAAAGAACATGTGCTTACATGCATTGGGGCAGTTATTAGCACATAGGTAATAGGTGATTGTGCTTGGAATTGACAATTTACTGATCTTTACTATTCAAGGAACAGATTGGTTTCCTTGTTGACTTCCTGTTTTACACAGAACATGCATTCTTTTTATATATATATACACACACACACATAGAGAAATATGTACTTCTTTAAAGCAAAGGATACAAGAGCACCAAATATGAAAAGAGGATTGAAGATGTGATTTTGAAATGTAAATAGTGCGAGCCCCATGTAACAGAAGATGACATTCTCAGCCAAAAAATTCATGAACTCGAACAACTTAAAGAAGAGAGAAAGAACATAATTATGACTCATGTCTACAGCAAACTACTGATTATCCCAGGTTCCCTTGGAATACAGAACTGTTTAGATGAAAGGAACAGAAATTGCTGCTGTTTCAAGGGTGGATTTTAAACCCACCTAATTTGCTGACAAATTAGACACAAGGTGTCTTTTAGCTTTAAAAATCATAGTTGCTTGCAGGTTTTTCTCTGATTTGTATATGAAAGCTTGACATAGACAACTGGTAAAATACATAAACAGCAAGTAAGTTATATGAGCTTCAATGCAAACTGCAGGGAAGCTGAGGGAAATTAGCTTCACTCATGTTTGCAGGGGGAGCCTGGGAAATGGCTCCTGGTAACACCAGTGGCTGTGCATAATGTCCTGGGTATGGGTACACCAAGGCCTAGAGAGAAAAATAATCCTAAATGGACTTTTAAGAACTTATCCCTTTTAAAATATAGCACAGCCTTTCTTATTGCTATGAATATTGTCTTGCAGATGGAAATTCTATTTGCACTGTATGGACATCAATATCAATACTAATTTCAAACCAAACTATTTAAAATGTCATTTAAAGGTATTATAAAATAAGCTTAAAATGCTTGAGTAGGGTAGAATTTCTTGTGGGAAAAATCAAGCAAAGCCAAAATATTTGTTTTCCTTGAGGGGATGTTTTTGATTATATTTGCAACTGATTATATTAAAACTAATAAAATAAATTTTCCTATTTAACCACATCTGGAAAAAATCAATCATTGCTGCCAAATAACCACAGAGAGGAAAAAGGGGCATTTCATTTCTGAAGTCACTTTTGAGCTCAGGATTCTATGCTAACAAATCCTGATGCAGAGTTAGGACTGAAGTTTGTCAGTCTGTCTGCAACCAGCCATACATCACTATCCACAATGTTACTATGGAGATATTTTATTTGTCCTCAGTGGGCTTATGTATTTTTTGTAATATGTTTGTGCTTCTAAAAATAAATATCCAGTAACAGTCACTAAGATTTAACAAAGGAAAAATGAGAGCTGTCAAAATCATTAAAACAAATTTCAGAGGCAAAATGGCATAAAACCCATTAGTATATGGGAGGATATTTTGGACTCCATGGCAGCACCATCAATTATCCCAAGCACACATTCCATAGCCCTCATTTTGTGCTGCAATATTGAACAACATTAAAACAAACACAAAAAATATTTGCAGGTTGGTTAGCAGTCTTAAATTATTTGAATTAAATTAAGATGAGAGGAACCAGTGGTCAAAAACTTCTAAGTATGGGATCTTGTGACTCATAGAAATTATGATAAGTTCTTTCATTTCCACTTGGGAGCAAACATGATCCCATGTCTTTGTGGGAATATCATCTGATGCATTGTTTGAAACAACTGAAAAATGTATCAGGAGTGCCATGACAGGATCTACATCTCTATAAAATAGATATCTGTGAATATATGAAAATCATTTGAGAGAAGGATATTGCTCTGAGGAACCACAACTGCATACTTTAATTATTGGGATGAGATAAAGTACTCCACAGGTTTTAAAGCTGAATGATATTTTGTTTTTCATTTAGAAAATCTCTTTCAAGACTCAAAAAAAATTAAAGTAGATGTACTATTGGCCCATTTTAGAAACACAAATTCTTAAACTAAATTCCTTTTCTTGTATTTTCAAAACTTCTGTTAATGTACTTTTTTTTGAGGAAAAGAGATTTTTTTTTCTATATCATTGCCTTTGCTGTATACTTTTTCTCAGCAATCTTACTAAATTCAAGCTTTTACTCTTGCTTGGAGTGCTTTCTTGGTGTAGCTGATTTTAAACTTCTCACCCCTTGTCTCCCAGCAATCCCATCAAGATAGAATCTTTATGGATCTCTTGCAAATCCAGTTCAGTGCATCTTTTCCATTTCCCCACAACCTTACCTCCTTTTACTCACTACATGCCTCCTGCTTCTTCCTACTTCAGACTTCCAGGCTGATTTCAGTAAATTATTGTTAAAGAGAAAAAAAAAAAAAAAATCCCTCATCCTTGTCTGGGTGTTTTCACTCAACATGAGCAGCACATTTTTTCTTTGCTCTCTGGGTGAACGTGTCGTGTCCCACAGCACAGCCCTGCTCTGCTTTCCTTGGCCTCTGTTCACAGTGGGTGTAACATTTGCAGCCACAGCATCTCTGTCAGATGCCTCCAACGTTGGAATTGAATTGCTGGACATAAATCTTTTTTCTACCCCCTGAACAAATATAACCTAAATTTTTTTTTTTGTTTCTGTGAGCTTTTTTTTTTTTTTAATATGTATCTTTGCTTAACTGTGCCAGTTTTTCCTCTCTTATCTCTAGTTTCTCTGTATTTTGATCTTTCACTATCACTGCTTGCTTGCTAGAAGATTAAATCCAGACTACTTTTCTTCCTTTGTGTTGCAAAAATCCCGGTGTTATTTCAATAGCTAAATTAGAGCAGGCTCCACTCCTTCCTATTCCAGGCACAACCATGATATGGTCTATTATCAAAGCTTCAGCTCCTTAAAATGGTAAAAGTAGCTTGTTAGCTTAATTCAGACTCTTCTGTGTTCTCCACATAGTTTGCTCTCTTTTTAAAAAGTCTACCACTCACTCATATGACACATTTATTCACTGACTGCAACTTAGTCAAATTTCTCATGAGTTAGAAAGAATTAAATAAAACAATTGCTTCAGAACTAGTTATTGTCATAAAAGGAGTGATATCTGAATGCTGTTTCCTGGAACAAGACACTTGCTGATATAGCATAGAAATGACCCACTGTTCTCTTGGCTTTACTTTTATTAGTGTATTTAAGATTAGTGTTTTATTTAGTGCTCAGCTTCTGTGTTTTGTTCAACAGTGATACAGAGCCCATGGAGAGATTCCATTTAGCACTTTACTGTCAGTGCTGTGCAGCACAGACCCCTTCAGAGCAAAACAATTTGTTCTAAAGAGATCTTCTGAAAACCACGTTAAGAAACAGTTTCCATAGGAGCTTTTTTCCCAAATTTCAGTCAGATGCCTTTCAGTCAGATGTTTCTGGAGTTATTTTAAAGAGGAGATGTCAAGACCTTTGGATGAGAAGTAGAAAAATAGGAGCAATAGATTTCAGCTGGAATTTAAAAATCCCTGGGTGCCCCAAGGAGTGGCACCATACACAGTAGGATGTGGGTGACATCCTCTCCTGTCTGAGGGGCCACGAGTCAGGGCCATGCTGTGGCCCATGGGCTGCTTAAATGCCACTCAAAATTTCTCAATATTTTGAATATATGTACTTGCAAGTGGGATTACTTTTGTGGGAAGGAAAATTTAGGATTAAAGTCCTGGATTCCAAGTATTTGGAAGTATTTTCTCCATAACCATAAATTTCCTTCCCTTGTCACCCACAGACTACCAACCTCTTTCTACTCTAAATGAAATTGCCATAAAGTGCTTATACACCACTATTAGTTTTCCCAGGGCTACCAGAAAACCATTTTAACATAGCAATAAGACATTTTTTTGTTATAAAACTAAACCCCCTCATTTGTAATGTGGCATTTCTAACTCTCCACAAAGTCTATAAATCTGGTTATACTTTTAATGTAAGAGCTGTAATAAATCACCAATGCCAGCACATTGCAGAGTAGACCATTAATTACAAGAACACCGGTTCAGAACTAATCTGGGCACTTGGTTTAGGTGTTTAGCTCAGTGAATTACTGAGAATGGTATTTGCTTTGCTTTGGTAATTTCCTCTGTAAGTAGTGGTTATTACTAAAGATTTCTAGTAAAATTGACATAATATTTATGTGTTTAAAAACACATCATTCATGAAATATGCTTTGCTTTTCTATTACTCTCAGCTGTTGAAAGTTCTAAGAGAGATTAAAAATTAGAAAATTCTTTTTTAACCTGGGACATCATTCTAGAAAATGCCCCTTGCAGTTCAGTTCTCACTGGCAGAGGAAGGAAGCAACCTGTATGTTAAGCCTTGCTGTAGCCACTGAGTTTATCTTAGATCAATGTTTTATTTTAACTCAAGTGAAAAAATTTATATCATATAAAGACTGCATTAATTTTAATTTTTCAGTGAGATAAGGCGAGCATGATCTTTTTTCCTCTCCATCCTTTCCTCCTCCCCCACAGTTAAGTTCCAGCCAATTAGAGCTATAATCTATGCCAGAATGGCTTTTGGCACTCAATTTATTTTCTAGAACCACTTATATTTTCACTGAGTGTTAGAGAGATTTTCTAGGTAAGTAATTAATGCACCTGGAAGATGGAACACACTAAGTACCAATCTTACCTGCAATGAAAATAGAATTCCTTAAAGGAGCATCAAAAGGAGAAAATGAACATAATCATTGCCACAGTCCTCTTGTGGCTGGGGAGATGGAAAATGTAAGATTTTTCAAATACTGATATTTTAAGGAACACTTCTCATCTCAAGAGAATAAAGTTAATATGACAGGACTGGGTAAAAGCAGAATGGCAAACAGTATTCCTTCCTCTTGAGGGAACAACATTAGTACAGAGGTATTGAGTAGAGGCTGAATTACATCCTCAAATTCCTTCCAGCAAAATTGACTGAATTTTAATCAGTGATGGCAATATTGCATTCATTCACTTGATTTAATATCTGCTGAAGGAATGTCATCCACCTCTTGCAGGTACCTGCATGCCTTCTGCAGCTGCACTGATTTAGCCAAAAACATGGGAAATGCCACCTCTCTGGGGGATGCACCCTACAGGGATATATTCCTGCATCAAAAGAGGGAGTTTCCATACTCCAACAGCACCTAGGAAGCTAGGATGTAAAACTGAATATAGCTTTAAGAGAGATCTAAGGGTGGCAGAGCTGCTAAAACCCCAAGAATTCAGTGTTAAGTGATGGTTATAAAATTTATTATCTTTGAATAATTTAAAATTTATTATCTATTTAAATATATCACAGATTTCAAAATACTCCATGAAGTCAAGGATATTGATAAATTAATAATTGATGAAAA